TAAGAAGGACAAAGAACCACAGTATGTTCAGCAGCATATTCTGCAGGACCAGGCATCAGGTCAGAGAAAAAGGAGGAAGATTCAAATTCAAACAATCAGGCAGAAAGAGGGATACTACTACTGGCAATATGGAAATTAGAAAGATTAAAAAGGAATTCAATGACTGATTGTATGCCAAAAATTGGATAAGTAAGATGAAATGAACAAAGTAGTAACTCAAAAATAAATGGAAAAACTAAACCAAACTATAGCAAGTGAAGTGCTTTAATTAGTAAACAATAAACCACCCACAAAGAAGCCTGGGCCCAGATGGCTTCAACACAGAATTCTCTAAAACTTGTAGAGAAGGTTAGTAAAAAATCTTCACAAACTTTTTAAAAACAGAATGGAGACGACTCTTCACACCATTTTCTGAGGCCAGTATGACTCTAATTCTAAACCCAGCAAGTTATCACAGAGGAAAAAAGGCTAACACACCTGAATATAGATGCAAACACCCTCAACAAATATTTGTAAACATGAACCAGTAAAGTATACAAAGAATTATATAACATCAGTGAGTGGGATTTATTCCAGGCATAAAAGGTTAGATTAACATATCAAAAGCAATTAATATAATAAATGAGATCAGTAAAGTAAAAAAGCCAAAATAACAAGATTATCTCAATAGACTGAAAAAATGATTGATAAAATCCAATACCCTTTCCTGATTAAAACACTCAGCATACCCAGAAGAGAAGAAAATTTCCAAATTTTATTGTCAGATCTGTGGAAAACCCACAGTTAACATTGTATTTCATGGTGAAAGACTGAATGCTTTGTCCCTTGCCCCCCAAGATAAGAAACCAAGGATGTCTGCCGTTGCCACTTCTGTTCAACAGTCTGCTGGAGATTTTAGCCAGAACCCTTAGGTAAGAAAAGAAGCAAAATGTGTGGGGATTAGTTAGGAAGATATAAAATTAACTTTACTTCCAGATGAGGCATCTTGTATATAGAAATCTCTGAAGAATCCACTAAAAAAAAACTATTGGAACTAAGAATTCAGTTTGGCAAGATTGTAGACATTAAAAGGAAAATACAAAAATCAGGCACATTCTCCCGCTCCCCCAGCACACCCACGCCTTTCCCTTCCTCCTCTTCTTCCCCAGGCACCTCACCTTTGCCTTCCTCTCTCCTTGGCTCCAAGGGGCCTTCTTTTGCTTCTATAGCTTGTTTCCTTAGCCCACTTCTTCCATAGTTCACTTTTACTACCTGTAACTTTCTAAATAAAGTTTCTCTTGTAATTTGAAAAAATATATTTATGAAAATGAATTATATTTCTATGCATTTATAATGAACAATCTGATCATAAAATTGAGAAAAGAAATACATTTATAATAGAATCAAAAGGAATAAAATACTTAAATAAATCTAACCAAAAAAAACACAAAACACACACTCTGAAAACTATCAGATATGGTTAAAAGAAATTACTAAATGTATGAATAAATAGGAATGCATCCCATGTTATAGATCAGAAGACTTAACACTGTTGAAATGCCCCAGTTGTAATCTTTATAGAAATTGGAAAGTTGTTTCATAAATTTATGTGGAATTTCAAATGAACCAGAACCACCAACCCAATTCTTGAAAAAAATACAAAGTAGTAAGCCTAACATTTCTTGATCTCAAAACTTTGTACCAAAAAACAAACAAACACTGTACAAACCAAAGGGAATCAAGATAGTGTGGTACTAAAAACAAGGACAATCATACAGATCTATAGAATAGATTGATATTTGAGAAGTAAACCCCTACATCCATGGTCAACCATATTTGATATTTGAAAAAGTTAGCAAGAATGCAGAAAAAATATTTTTTCAAAACTTTTTTTCATAAATTGGTGCTGGGCCAACAGAACAACCATATGTAAAAGAAAAGAAGAAAAGGTTGTGCTGTGTAATTCACGCCACATACTATAAGTTACTCAAAAGAATCAAAGACCTAAAATATCAAACAAAACTGCAGCAAACTTAAATAAAACAGCAAAAAAAATCCTGACCTTGAATTTGGCAAAATGTTAAATATGACAGAAAGGGCAATAACAGAAGTAAACTGTTAATTTAGAGTTCAAAAAATTAGTGACTTTTGTGCTTCAAAGGAAACCATTCAGAAAGTGAAAACACTTTCTGAATTTATGAATTTCAACTCAGAAGTTGAAACTCGTGTGTACTATTGTGGAAATATAAAAATCATTTGCCAGTAAAAAAAATATGAAAACAACAGTTCACTGAAAACTTAAAAACTGAGTTACCATCTGATCTAGCAGTTTTATTTCTGGGTAAAAACCCAAAAGAACTGAAAACCAGGACTCAAACAGATATATGTCTCCCCCTGCTCATACTAGCATTATTCACAATAGGCAAAACCCAAGGGTTCATCAACATACAAATGGATCCAAAAATTAGCATATCCATCCAACAAATTACCCTTCAGCTTTAAAAAGAAAGCCAATCCTGACACAAGTTACAATCTGGAAGAACTTTAAGGACATCATTAATCAGCCTATCAAAAAAGCCAAACACTGTAGTATTACAAAAATAGAATGGCTGTTGCCAGGAGCTGAGATGAACAGGAGAATGAGCAATTGTGTCTAAAGAAATAGAGTGTCACTTTTGCAAGATGAAAGTAGTTCTGAAAATTGGTTTTACAATGTCAGCATCCTTCTCCCTACTGAACAACACACCTAAAAATGCTGAAAATTTAAATTTTATGATATATATATATATATAGTACCACAATTAACAGTAAGCATTTTAAAGCAAGAGAGTGAAAACACAACCCACGGAATGGAATAATCTGCAAATATATCTATCTAATAAGGAACTTGTATCAAAAATATCTAAAGCCTTCTTATAACTAATTATAGAAAGTTAAATGACTCAATTTTCAAATGACAAGGGCTGGTTTGGCTCAGTGCACTGGGCATCATCCCACAGACTGAAAGTTCACTAGTTCAATGCCAGGTCAGGACACATGCCTGGGTTGCAGGCATTTGAGAGGCAATTAAACAATATTTTTCTCACACATCGATGTTTCTCTCCCTCTCTGTCTCCCTCCCTTCCCCTGTCTCTAAAAATAAATGAATAAAATCTTTAAAATTTTTTTCAATAGCAAAGGATTATAGAAAATAAAGAAATGCTCAAAAGCACATGAAAAAAAGGCTGGACATCATTAATTATCAATAAAATGCTAAAGTGAAATGAAGTCATCAATTAAAACCCCAATAAGATATCACTTCACAACCACTAGGACAGCTAAAATCAAAAAGTGAAATAGCCCTGGCTGGTGTGGCTCAGTGGATTGAGTGCTGGCGTGTGAACAGGATCGTTGCCAGTTCGATTCCCAGTCAGGGCATATTCCTGGGTTGCGGGCCATGTCCCCAGTGAGGGCTGTGTAAGAGGTAACCACACATTGATGTTTCTCTTCCTCTATTTCTCTTTCTTTTCCCTTCTGTCTAAAAATAAATAAATAAAATCTTTTTCAATAGTTAAATGATAACATATTTTGTCAGGACATATGGAGATGTTTGAACCCTCATACATGAGTGGTACAATATAAAATGGTGTAGCCACTATGGAAAATCACCTGAAACTTTCTGAAAGATTAAACTTGGCCTGGGCAACATAGCTCATTTGGTTAAACCAGTGTCCTGTAACACCAAGGTTGCAGTTCAATCCCCAGTCAGGGCACAGACAAGAATCAACCAATAAATGCACAAATAAGTGGAATGACAAATCGATGTTGCTCTCTCTCTCTCTCTCTCAAATAAATAAATAAATAAATTTAGAGTTGCCATGTGATTTCTCAACTACTTTCCCATTTACATGCCTAAGAAAAATAAAAACACATGTTCAAACAAAATTTGTACATGTTTATAGCAACATTATTCATAGTAAACATAGATAAATAACATGTGTTTCATCCATCCAGTAGAATATTATTGGGCCATAAATAATAAATGAAGTATTGGTACATGCTATAACATGGATGACTTTTGAAAAATTATGCTGTCAATAAAGTCTATTAAAAAGATCATAGGTAATATAATTCCTTTCCTATGATGCCCTGAATATGGAAACCTATAGAGGCAGAATGTAAATTCAGGGTTGCCTAGGGCAGGGAGAAAGATGGGAAGTTGGGAGTTACAGCAAAAGGGTAGAAGGTTTGTTTGTTTGTTTGTTTTAAGTGACAAAAATGTTCAAAAGTTGACTGTGGTGTTGATTACACATGCATTCAAATAGGCTGAAAACACTGAAGTGCACACTTTAATGAAGTGCATAGTATGTCGGTTACATCTGTGGGCAGAGAATGAGTCACCCCAAGAGGTGCCTCTGTGGTATGTCAATTATTTTGTGCTAAAGGCAGCATTAGCCACAGGCTCAGGAGAAACTTCTGCCCCCTGACCCTTACTGCCTGAAAGAATTCAAATTAGAGCTGTTGCCCACAAGAGATTATCAGCAACAAACTTCTTGAACCACCTATATGGTGGGGCAAACGTTTCCTGCAAGGACCCTTCAAAGTTCCTGAGGTGCACTACATCATCCCTAGCTCACAATGCCTTATATTCCTCAACCCCCACTTCTATCTCTGAACCTCTCCTGTATGTGGTATCTCTGACTTTCTCATGTTTCTAAGGTTCCCGTACATATGTATGTATTAAATTTGGTTATTTTGTCTTGCTACACTGTCTCATGTGTATTTGATTTTTACACCAACCAGAAGAACCTTAAGGGTGGAAGAAAGTTTGTCCTTCCACACATATCTCAATAAAAGTTGTTCATGTAAATAAATTCATTTAGTTTGGCAATGCAAGGAGATGTGTCTCTGGATGGTGAACACATGATACAATTTACAGATGATGTATTATAGAATTCTATACTTGAAACCTATATATTTTTATTAACCAATGTCTTTCTCATCCGTAGGGAGACATAGTCTAATAGGCCCCATCATAAAATGTGTAAATGCCTTCACATAACACTGTGTATTCCTCCACAGCTAACAATCTGTCTATTCCTTTTTATTGAAATTTTGTTCCACTTCTACTAAAATGACCTTACCTCCGATTCCCTCTCTTAATATTTCTTCAAGTAAAATCACTTAGTTGTCAACAATGACACCTGCATTTCTGAGTATGATGTTTGCTTTCCTTTCCACATCATGAATTAACATTCATTTATTAGTAAATCCAGCCAGCAACCACTATGATCACTGGTATCTATCTGGGCTATGTTGGAATGGTTCTCAGGTGATTTCAGGCACAAGTTCTTGGTTCCGAGTCTCTCTGATCCTCTCCTGCCATGTCTACTGGGCTCTCAGTCTCACCTGCATGGGAACTCTGACAAGAAGATTTCCCTGCAGGAGTCCAAAATCTTCCCTGTGTGGTTGATGATGGAGACCGAAACTCTGTCCCAAACAAGACAGCAAGGAGTGGTCAAGCATTAGTCTCCCTCCCAGATTCAGCCAAGAGCAACAGCCACCTTTCTCCATCCGAAGGTTGCACATGCTGAGATGCTGCAGTACAGGGGCTACTTAGAGATCTCCAGGTCTACTCATTAGGCACATTTATTTCTCAGCACTCTAACCTCTAAGCACAGAATTTCTCTTGGGGACACTGGTCTGGACAGAATGAACAGTTTCCCTGCTGATCCTCTGTTCCTAGGAGACTGTAATAAACCATCTGAGTACAGTTTTGATGAGTCCTTTTCCATTAACTGCCCTGCTTTCTGACGTCTGTCTACACCACCCAGCATCTCATCCCAACTCTGTGTTAAAGTTTCTAAATGGGTGGACCTGGATCATATTGTGGTCAGTGAAATAAGCCAGTCAGAAAAAGACAAATACCATGTGATTTTACTTATATGTGGAATCTAAAGAACAAAATAAATGGACAAACAAAACGGGCACAGTCTCATAGACACAGAGAGTGGACTTTGCTTGCCAGGGGGGGAAGTGGGTTGAGGGACTGGGAGAAAAAGGTAAAGAGAGTTAGAAGTACAAATTGGCAGTCAGAGAATAGTCTCAGGGATGTAAAGCAGAGCATAAGAAACATAGTTTGGAATATTGTAATAACTATGTGTTAGGCCAGTTGTGTACTGGAAATATCAGAGCAGGTAGGAGGGGCAAAGGCAGTATGTGAAGTGTTTGACTGACTAATCACTGTGCTGTATACCTTAAACCAATGCAAAAAATATTAAAAGTAAACTGTAACTGAAAAACAGAAAGTCTTATACTGAGAAATTTGGCTGACTTGTCTTTGAATCTTCAAAGAATTGATTTATAGTGGGACATACCCCTGATATCCCTAGACACTTACTATTTTCCTCTCTAAGAAAGGGAATCTATGTTTTCCTTTAGTATAAAACCCTGAGCACTGTGCTCCTTGGCATCATGATTCGTTAGCCAAGACAATTAGGCATTTAGACTGTGAACCAAGATGAAGGTGTAGGTACGTACACTTTGCTCCCTCACAAAATTGAAAGGACAATAACAAATGTTTTAAATATCTTTTATTGATTATGCCATTACCATTGTCCCATTCCCCCCTTATTCCCCTCCACCCTGCACACTTCTTCCCACTCATTTTTCTGCCCTTTAGTTCATGTCCATGTGTCATAAGTTCTTTAGCTTCTATATTTTTCACACTACTCTTGCCCTCTCCCTGTCTATTTTCTCCCCACCATCTATGCTATTCATTCTCTGTACCTTCTCCCCCCACTCCTCCTCCCACTCTCCTTTGCTAACACTCCATGTGATCTCCATTTCTATGGCTCCACTCCTGTTTTTAGGTGTCCACTTAGATTGCTTTGGTTTTAGGTATGGTTGTTAATAACTGTGAGTTTGCTGTTCTTTCACTGTTTATATTTTTATGTTCTTTTTATTAGATAAGTCCCTTTAACATTTCATATAATAAGGGCTTGGTGATGATGAACTCCTTGAACTTGACCTTATTTGAGAAGCACTTTAGCTGCCCTTTCATTCTAAATGAAACCTTTGCTGGATAGAGGAATCTTGGTTGCAGGTCCTTGCCTTTTATGACGTGGAATACTTCTTTCCAGCCCCTTCTTGCCTGTGAGGTCTCTTTTGAGCAATCAGCTGACAGTCTGATGGGATCTCCTTTGTAGGTGACTGTCCCCTTATCTCTTGCTGCTTCTAGAATACTCTCCTTCATTTTAATCTTGGGTAATGTAATTATGATGTGCCTTGGTATGTTCCTCCTTGGGTCAAACTTATCTGGGACTCTCTGAGCTTCCTGGACTTCCTGGAAGTCTATTTCTTTTGACAGATTGGGAAAGTTCTCCTTTATTATTTGTTCAAATAAGTTTTCCATTTGTTGCTCTTCTCTTCCCCTTCTGGTACTCCTATAATTTGGATGTTAGAATGTTTAAAGATGACCTGGAGTTTCATAAGCCTCTCCTCATTTTTTTTAAATTCTTGTTTCTCCATTCTTTTCTGTTTGGTTATTTCTTTCTTCCTTGTGGTCCACTCCATTGATTTGAGTCCCAGTTTTCTTTTCATCACTATTGGTTCCCTGTGCATTTTCCTTCATTTCACTTAGTGTAGCCTTCATTTGTTCATCTAATTTGTGACCAAAACCAACCAGTTCTGTGAGCATCCTGATCATTAATGTTTTGAACTATGCATCTGATATGTTGGCTATCTCTTGGTCACTTAAAAGTATTGGCTCTGGGCCTTTGATTTGTACTTCTGTTTGAGGAATTTTTTGGTCAGATTGCACCTGTTACATATGAATGGTGGAGCCTTAGGTGTTCACCAGGGCAGGGCAACTCAAGTCACTGGGTTGTGACACTGTATGTGGGGTCCGGTTCAGAGAGCAAGCAATAGTGTTTGTTCCATACTCTCTTGGACTTTGGTCCCCTCTGCTGCTATTCACAAGCAAATTGGGCTCTTCTGGTGCTGGTTCCAGGGTGGGTGGACTTTTGTATGTTCTAGGACCTTGTGGGTCTCTCCAACAAGCTCTCCTTTGAGACTCAGAGCCTCTCCTGGCACCTCCACTTTCAACATTTATTTCAATCAGTGCTTTTAGGTTTTATTTTCTGTTGCTTGGGCCCTGGGTTGCTTGACTGTCTCACTGCCCATTTTTTGCTTAGTTTATCTGCATGTGAATGTGTGACCACTGTCAGCCAACCTTCTTGCACTTCTCACTGTGTCTGCTCAATTCCTTCCCACACCTGGTTCTGCTAACTGCTGCCTCTTTCTGTAGGGACCCCTCTACACTGGCTGCCAACTCTGCCACTTTTACTGATCTGGATAAATAGTTTGTTGTTGTCAGACTTCAGTACAGTTCAATTTTCTGTCTGTTCTGGTTCTGTTTTTGTTTCTAATTTTTTGTTGTTCTTAAATTTGGTTGTGCGAGGAGGCACAATGTCTCAACCAATGCCTCCCTCTTGACCAGAAGTGACAATAACAAATTTTTAAAATAACCAAAACTGCCATAAAATCAAACTGTATGGAAGTTTCACAATTAAAGAGTTAAAGAAGAAACATACATCAAGACTGGTAGGAGTGGTGGAGAAGAGCAGCTGTGACAGAGAGGATGCACACAAGGCAGCTGCTGTGAGACCAGGTGGTCCTATATTTGCATGTAGATAAACTGGGAGGAACACTGAGAAGTAAGATGGACTGTGCAACCCAGGGTTCCAGCATGAGGAAATAAAGCTTCCAAATCCCTGACTGTAAAATTCTGTGGGGGTTGTGGTGGGGGAATAAACTCCCAGACTCACAGGAGTATTCATGGGGGAGACCCACAGAGTCCTAAAACAAACCCACCCATCTGGGAATCAGAACCAGAAAGGCCAAATTTGCTCGTGGGTAGTAGAGTAAGCAACTGAAATTCAGCCCAGTGCTGAGCAAACAGCATTGTTCTCTTTCAACGCCTCCCCACAGACAGCACCACAGCACAGTAAAGTGTTTTTGCCCCACCCTGGCTAACAAATTAGGCTCCACCACTTAATATAACAGTCGCACAGAGACGAAAAAAAATATATGGCCCAAATGAAAGACCAGATCAAAGCCCCCAAAATACAACTAAGTGATGAAGATATAACTAACCTGTCAGATGCACAGTTCAAAACACTGGTAATTAAGATGCTCACAGAAATGATTGAGTATGGTTGCATAACAGAGGAAACAGTGAAGGTTATGAAAAGTGAAATAAAGAAAAATATAGAGGGAACTAAAAGTAAAGGGAAGAAAACCAGGACTCAAATCAATAATTTGGAGCAGAAGGAAGAAATAAACATTCAACCAGAACAGAATGAAGAAACAAGTATTCAACAACATAAGGAGAGGCTTAGGAACCTCCAGGACAACTTTAAATGTTCCAATATGTGAATAATAAGTGTGTCAGAAAAAGAAGAGGAAGAGCAAGAAATTGAAAAATTACTTGAAAAATATTGAAGGAGAACTTCTCCAATCTGGCAAAGGAAATAGAATTTGAGGAAGTCCAGGAAGATCAGAGAGTCCCAAAGAAGTTGGATCCAAGGAAGCACACACCAAGACACATCATAATTACATTACCCAAGATTAAAGATGAGAGAATCTGGGTTTTTTTTTTCACTTATTTTTTTATTTTTTTATTGTTGTTAAAGTACAATTGTCTCCATTTCGCCCCACCACCACCCCCCACTCTACTCATCCCTGCCTTCTACCTTTGAACCTACCTCCTTTGATTTTGTCCATGTGTCCTTCCTTGATGGATCTTCCCCTTATTTCCCCTATCATCCCTCTCTCCCCTCCCTAGGTTGTTGTCAGTTTCTTTTTTAATTGAATGATTCTGGTTATATTTTGCTTGCTTGTTGATTTTGTTCATTAGGTTCCAATTGTAGGTGAGATAATGTGGTATTTGTCCCTCACCACCTGGCTTATTTCACTTTGCATAATGCTCTGCAGTTCATCCATGCTGTCAGGAAGGACAGGAGATTTTGTTTCTTTAAAAAGATAATGATAAGAATAAATCTTAAAAGCAACAAGAGAAAAGAAGACGGTTACCAACAAAAGAGTTTCCATAGACTATCAGCTTTGTTGATTAGAATCCAAGCAAAATACAAATTTCAATACATTGAAAAAGACAACAAACTGACAGTATGCAGAGAGGATGGGGGAGAGGGATAATAAGGAATAATGGGGGGGTGAAAATGAAGACAATTGTACTTGAACAACAATTAAAAAATGACTATCAACTTATTTCTCAAAAAATAATTTAAGGGCAAGAAGGGGCTGGAAAGAAGTATTTTAAGTCATGAAAGGAAAGAAACTACATCCAAGATTACTCTATCCAGCAAAGATATTATTTAGAATGGAAGGGCATATAAGTGCTTCCCAGATAAGATCACATTCAAGGAGTTCATCATCACCAAGCCCTTATTATATGAATGTTAAAGAGACTTATCTAAGAAAAAGAAAAAGATAAAAACGATGAA